GCAGGTGGGGGGTGTGGGGGCAGGTGTGGGAGCAGGTGTGGGGAGTTGTGGGGCAGGTGGGGGGGTTTGGGGGTAGGTGTGAGGTCAGGCAGTCAGGGGCCAGCCCCTCTCTGGAGGAGGCCCTTGTGGGGAACGCAGACCTTGAGGTGAGTGGGAGAAGAGGCCTCAGGAGAGGGCAGGAGAGCGGCCCCGGTGTGTGCAGGGCCTCGCGGTGGGAGAGCGGATGGCCAGCAAGGCGGGAGAGGGGGCCCTGAGCCATGAGGGGCGCTGGGTGGAGGGCCGTGCTGGAAGGCTTTTCCTCCCGTCTCCTGCATCTGCCCAAGCTGGTTCCCGGTCTGCAGCTGAAGCGGAGCAGGAAGGCCTGGCCTTCGTCGTCAAGGACCAGCAGCTGTGAAGGAGGGACTGATTTCTGGCTGGACCCCTGAGCCTGGACCCTGGAGAGAGAGCGCTGGGGCCTGGCTGAGCCACACGAGTGGGGTGGGGTTTGTCCTGGTTTGTGGGGGGGTGTGTTCAGCTGGATTCTGCCCTGCACCGCAGAGTCTTTTGCTCCGCTGAGGACTGGCTTGCGTCCTGGCAGCACAGAGCTGATTCTGCACCCCTCAAGGGCACGTGGGGTCAGCAGGCAGGCGGAGGCTTCCTGTAGGAAGGGGCCTGTGTGGGGACCCAGGAGACGGCTCCAGCCAGCAGCCCTTGCCCAGTGCTATTGGTTTTGCTTGTTTTATTTTTTTTAATTTTTTTTATTTCCTTTGACTCAACTTCAGCTTTTATTTTGCTGAGACTTAATTTATCCTGTCACTTGGAGGGCTCAGTTCTGTCTCCAGCTGTGTCCAGAGCAGTTAAGTAAATGTTGAAGGAACGTGCTGGAGCCCTTGCTGAGACAGTAAAACCACCAACCTGCCACGAAAGGACATTTGAATTAGTTGGCTGGATTTTTTTCTTTACTTAGCGTCTTGCTGATGATCATAATAATGCCCCAAGGATGCCTTTCATTGAGAGCCAGCTTTGAGCACAGCATTTATATTCCACCAAGTCCTCTGAATGTTCCAGAGAGGAGGGTCATGTGTTCAGTTGCTGGTAAATACACTGAGGCTCATGGAGGTGATGGG